CAGGTAAACGAATACACAAACAAATATTTTTACACACAAACAAAATAAATAAACACACAAACAATATTTTGAGTACGCACAAACAAAATAAATTAACACACATGAAAACACATGAGAATTCTAGCATTCTACTATCCCATATTATTTCATTTTACCTCAAATAAATTCTTAACTAAAAAATAATCCAAAAACAACTATAATTACAAAATAATCCAAATAAACTAGTTCAACTTAGAAATTCACAAACAAACATAAACTAAAAATTAAAATTTCAATAAACATTTAAACAAACATGTCATGTGCATAAAAAACAAATAGAATAGTTTGGCTTAAATTTGAAAAATCAACATCACCAACCCATTCCAATGGAACAAAATAATCATACATTCAACATCATACTAAAATCTTTGCCACATAACAAGATACATAAGAATCTGAAAAGGGGAAAAAGTATAATCCAAAAAGAAAAAAACAAATAATTATTACCTCAAGATTCAAAGTTTTGAGACAAATGGTTGGATTATGTGGGAAGGAAGAGACTCTCATAATTTTCGTTAGCTAATAATATAGTGAATTGAAAAAGATTTTGAAAATGAAGAGAAAACTAAGAAGAAGGAAGGGGGGAGGGGAAGTGTGCGTAGAAGAAGAGATGGGGAGCAGGGGGGGGGGGGAGGGAGGGGAGAGAGAAGTGGGAGAAGAGGTAAAAGAGATGGAAGTGGTAAAAAAATTGTGAATATATATATATATATATATATATATATATATATATATATATATATATATATATATATATATATATATATATATAACCTTTGAGAGGAGTTAAACAAGGGGATCCTCTATCTCCTCTTCTGTTTATTATAGCTGCAGAAGGCTTCTTAAGAGGTCTAAATTGGTATTTTAATGAAGGTCTGATTAAGCCCTACTACACTGGACCTGGGACATTACCAATTTCACATCTTGGATATGCTGAAGATTTATTGATTTTTTTGAATGGGGAGGTGAGATCTTTATCTAAGTTTAAGAAGTTTATTGAGGCTTATCAGAAGGCTTCAGGACAAACTGTTAATTTAGATAAAAGTTCTATTATTTGTGGTAAAGGTGCTGAAAGAAGAAAGAGGAGTATTAAAAATATGTTGGGTATGAAGATGGGAGATCTTCCTATGAAGTACCTAGGAGTCAGCCTTCACAAAGGAATTAACAGGTACAAATATTGTGGACACATTATTAAACAATTTGAGAATAAGCTGACTCCCTGGAGGCAGAAAAACCTATCCCAAGGTGGCAGATTAATTTTGATAAAGCATGTGCTGAGCTCCATTCCTTTGCACACTTTAGCTTTAGACAGCCTGCCCAGAAAAGTAAAGAAAATATTAGAAAGCAAAATGGCAGTTTTTTTCTGGGGCTCTTCTAATAATAAGCAGAAGTACCACTGGAAAAAGTGGAATTCTCTCTGCGCTCCTACTGATGAGGGTGGTTTGGGCATTAGATCTCTTACTGATCTAGAAAAAGCATTTACTCTAAAATTATGGTGGAAGTGGAAAACTGGGACTTCTTTTTGGAACTCCTTCTTTAATGCTAGATATATGAGAGACAATTGTATTCCTAGGTTGACAGATTCAACAGTTTGGAGGAGGATTTGCTCTATTCATTCTCTTGCTCTTTCTGCCTGTTCCACTAATACAGAAAGTGAAGTCATTCGAGACCTTGAAGATAATGGCCAATTTAGCTTTCATTCTGCCTACAATTTTGTAAGGAGAAATTCTGGGAAATTATTCACCTATAAGCATTGTTGGCACCCAAAACAACAACTGAAGGTGAAATTATTCCTATGGAAGCTGCTAAGTGGAATTCTGCCTATTACAAACAACATTATGAGATTTCAAATAGTAGTTAAGCCCTCTATGTGCCCTATGTGTAGGAGGAGTGAGGACTCCACATATCATTTGTTTTATAAATGTTCTTTTTCCAAACCTATATGGGAATACTTCATGGGGATATTCAGAATTCCAGCTCCTAAGGTCACAGTTTCAATCAGAAGCATCTTAATAGCTTGGTGGATGAAAGCTGGTAGCAAGAAACTCGAAGACATTTTTAAACATAATATGCCAGGTATAATCTGTTGGAACATTTGGAAAGCTTATACAAATATTATTTGGGGAGATGGGGATAAACCACCAACCTCAACACAGATGATTCAGATTATCAAGGAATACACCCAGAACTGGGGTCAATCGTTGACTAATCTGAAGCTTCATTCTATTGGTGAGGTCTTAATGGAAGAAAGCCTACTACCTAAGAATTTTAGGCTTACGGGAATAAGACTCCAATTAATCAAGTGGATTAAGCCTAAGAGGGGTTATAAACTGAACACAGATGCTTCTTTCTCTCCTGGTCGAGTGTTTGGAGGTGCTATCATGAGAAATCGGATGGGAGAGATGAGTTTCGCTCTTACCTTTCCCTTGTCTGCCGCGTCTGCTTTGGAGGCTGAGATTAAGGCAATCCTGTTTGCTACCAGGTGGGCGATTACTGCAGGGTTTAGGGATTTCAAAGTGGAGACCGACTCCTGGAACGCAATTTCTTGCCTGAAGAGTATGGAGGTGCGAAAATGGAAGATTGAAATTCAGGAAAGTATGCTTCTATCGGACAGCACACGGGTCTCTTTGGGTCATACAGTACGTGAAGGCAATTGGGTGGCCCATTTTTGGCTTCAAATGGGTCGGCCCAATTAAAAGAGATGTACTTGGCTAGTGAGCTTATGGATGATGCACAACGGGCATACTTTATGGATATTTTTGGACTTCCTTGTTTTAGATATTTATTTTAATTTGTATTTTTGGGGATGCCCAAAATTTCTGTTTTACTTTCTTCTCTCGTTTAATTCTTTCTGTATTTCTGAAAGGGGATGCCCTTTCTGAAGAGGTATTGGTATGGTCCCCCTCTTCATTTGTACCTTTTGGAATTTTAATAAAACTCGGCAAACGTTCCCCGGCGTTTGCCCCACTGATTTTGGTGGTTTACCTACTGGGTTCAATATATATATATATATATATATATATATATATATATATATAGTGTATAGAGTGTGTATTATAGTGGGTACAAGAAGACTTATTGATTCGGCAAATATGTGTGACCTTGTGTGTGCAGATGTCGACCTTTCGTTTATGTGGCCTGGTTTGGCGACTTCACAGATGTGGCTTGTACAAGGAACTCTTGTCTCTCATCCTGTGTTATTTCTTTCGCCTCAGCAAATTAGATGGGATTAGGGAAGTACCTACTTGCAATAAACTGATTTTCTAATAAGAACATGAGTTGGATTAAGTTACGAATGAGATAGTGCCATGTGTGGAATGCACCAAAACATTCCTTAATACTAATGCACCATAAAATTTTCCTTCAAATATATATGTGCGTAAATTACGAAAACTTATTTTGGTGTACAAAAACGTGAATTGCATAACATTTATAAGAATAATGATAATGATATCTTAAAAACATGATAAATAAGTAAAAGTCAATAACAAAGTACATACATACGCAAGAAAATAAGTGGATATAAAGTAGACTTCAAGGATGTTTTTACTTGGACTATAATTTGTCCTAGACCAGACCAGACCAGACCAGCAAATTACAATCCAAGTAAAAACATCCCAAGTACTCCCTCCATCCCATTTAAATCTTTACACTTTTCTTTTTGGGATGTCCCAATTACTCCTTTACGTTTCCTTTTTTTGAAACTCCTTTTACATCAAAATGTCTTAACTACCCTCTATAAAATACGAAGTATCTTATCAACCCACAACTTATTACCCCTCAAAGACGGTTACCCAATATTTATTACCCCTTCGGTTTTTAATTCACCTAAATTACATCAAAATGGTGGAGGAAATGGTGGACACTAGGCTGTTCTTGGGTAATGAAGATTGAGGAGGAAGGAGATATTGCTCCAGAGTGGTTGAGCAAGTTTGTAGAAATAGCTTGTAACTGATTGAAGGATCAAAGGATTGAACGGCGGGCGATGAGTGATGTGGTGTGGGGGTTTGAATTTGCATTGCAGCTGCAGGAACCAGCGAAGAAGATGATGAACAGTACTCTTCAAGCTTCCGCCAGCGGCCACGGCCGCGGCGACGTCTCTTTAACCACCACCCATCTTTTCCCCTGTTGCGGTGGCCCTAAAGGAGGGAGAGTCGATAACGGAGATCGAGAACAGCGGGGACTGGGATTCATCACAACGTCGGTCGGAACCTAGGCGATTGACAAAGTGGGGAAGACACTGTTTCCGATGCAGAGTAGCTAGATGGAAATCATGGGATCCCTGATGCAGTCCAGCAATTATAAACAAATAGTGAACAAAGAGGGTGTGATGGTTTTCCGTTGCATCCTAGCAAGTAGTTGCGAGTCGCGACAACAGAGATCAAGACCAGGGAGGGGCTATCTTCTTTGACCAGCGTCCAGGGACAACAAAAGAAGAAAAAAAAATCGAATAGGAAGAGCTGAAACCGTAAACCGAACCACACTACTTGAGTCGGTTTCGGTTCGGTTTCGGTTCGGATAATATCGGTCGGTTCGTGTCGGTTTCAGTTAGTTTTAGCACGTTTTTGTCGGTTTTTGTCGGTCGGTTTCGGTTCGGTCGGTTTTTTAACCCCAAAGGTGAAACCGTAAACCGAACCGCCAATGTTTGTTCGGTTTGAGTCGGTTTCGGTTTTGGTCGGTTCGGTTTCGGTCGGTTTTGGTTTTTCGGTTTTTTTTGTTCACCCCTAATGTCTGCATTCAAATTATTTTTAGAGAAAAAAATACCTATTTAGAAACTACATTAAATCGCGACAAAACCTGCCAAAAAATAATTCAAATTTTATTAAATTTTGATATATAAAATACTCCGTAAGAAATTAAGAATGATTTCTATTTATAAAATGAGACTTCTAATTTCTCTATTCAGATTTCTAGCACGTTTTTTCCAAAATTTTCCAAAAGTTTAGCAAACGCGTTGATCAAGACCCCCTAGTCGTTTTTTCTTTGAAATTTCAAGAAGAAGAAAAAAGGAAATTTTCAGGGTCATTGAGGAAGAAATTGTCTAGTCTTCTCTGGAATCCTTGAAGTCTTCATTTTAACTGGTCAAACTAGCACAGACCACCATTCAAATTAGCATCTCCTACTCTCTATTTTCAATTTCCACAGCACGTTTGAGCCATTCACATTGAAAGATATAAACACCCGAACTTTAGATTTAAGGTTTTAGATGTTAGTGAGGATTTACACAAGTGTACCACTCAAGGATTCAGTTTTTGTCAGTTCTTAGCTGAGTAACAGGTTTGTAGTTTCATATCGATGTCAATTTTTTTTTCATTTACAAAAAGCAGTTTAGAGGGCTCTAAAGTAGCTTCAGGGTGGGGAAAATGTTAGTTTAGCTGAGTGGAATATGAGAGTTTTGGGGTTAGTTATTTTAAAGTAAATATTTTGGGTTATAAGTTTAGTTTGAGGGGACTTGTAATTTGTAAGCAGGTTCTGATTTCAAGATTTTTGATTGAGTGTAAAGATGACAAGTATTTTAGAGAGTATATTCCCAATTCAATCCTGGAATAAAAATGATGAGGACGGATTTGATCTTGAGTACTCCATGGCAGTGGAGTACAGTGGTCCTCCAGTCAGCTACAACATACCGCAGGTGGTTCCTGTTTTGTTTGACCGCATCCCCGCAGCAACCGTGGTTACTGCTTCTTTATCAAACAGTCAAATTTTGTCACTTCCAGTTATTCAACCAATAGTTAACAAAAATTATTATTCAGACAAAGAAGGGATACCAGAGGCCTTCTCACAGTCTGCAGCTAAGGTTTCTTTGAATTCTGTCTATGGTGATGACTATGCCTCTAATAAAGGGTCAGGTTGTCTTGAAAGTTCCGGAACATTGGGCTTTTCTGATGATAATGATGACTCCGGTGAGATTTTAGCGAGCTCGGATGTTATAAGTTGCGAAGAGGTGGAAGAGAGTACACCTATTGAGTTTTTTACAGAAACTCGATCAAGTAGCAATGCGAATTATGCGACTACTTCAGAAAGTGATGATGACGATGGTGATGATGAAGCAGTTATAAGTTTCCCGGAAAAGTCTGTAGTGATAAGTGACTCAAAGAAGTGTTTTCGGTGTCACAAAAGGAACATGTTCATAAAGAAGGAAGTTTGTTTGGTTTGTAATGCAAAGTATTGTGATAGATGTGTTTTGAGAGCAATGGGTTCAATGCCAGAGGGCAGAAAATGTATCACTTGTATTGGTTTTAGGATTAATGAAGCAAAGCGTGATTTGTTGGGGAAGTCTTCTGCAATTCTTAAGAGTGTACTCACAGATGAGGAGATTAAAAGGATCATGACACAGGAGAAGTCATGCAAAGCTAATCAACTCCCTTCTAATCTTGTCACTGTGAATGGTAAACATCTTTCCACGCAAGAGTTGGTTTTGTTGCAGAGTTGTCCACATCCGCCTAAAAGGTTGAAGCCCGGGAGGTATTGGTATGACAAAGTTTCTGGATTTTGGGGAATGGTGCGTATGAATGTATTTCCCTCCTTTTTAAGCAATCCAGCTTCACACAAATATGAAAAGATGCACACTTACATATATGGTGGCATTCGGCTCCTATTATTTTTGTGCTGTATTGGCTCTTATAGCTGTTTTTTGTGAAATAGACATTTAACAAAAGGCATTAGCATGCTACACTTATGAGGTTTCCCTTGACAGTTTGGGTTCCAAATCTTAATATGTTAGTGTTATCTTGCTTCCTATAGTTATTTTTTAGTTTTCAATAACCATTTGATAAAAGCATTAGAATATTTGCCATATGAAATTACATTTTCGGCTGGAACTCAAAATCTTAATAAGTTTGTGCTGTCTAGGTTGTAATAGTTTTTATTTATTTATTTTCAAATGACCTTTTGATTTGTACATTGTTCGAACAGGAGGGTGAGAAACCTTGTCAAATTATTAGTGACGAGCTAGTGGTTGGTGAAAAACTCAAGATAAATGCTAGCAATGGGAACACTAATGTACTCATAAATGGGAGAGAGATTACAGGAGCAGAGCTACGGATGTTGAAGGTTTGTGTTTCCTCCTAAATACTTGAGGTCTATTTCGCAGCCCGGAAAATACTATGGAAAATAGTTCGGAAGAAATAGAGGAACATGAGAAGGAAATAAAATTTGAGTGAAAATAAAGGATATGCCAAAAAATTAGGCATGGCAATGGGTCGGGGCGGGGCGGGTATTGCAAGACCCGGACCCGCCCCGTGACTTGGCGGGGCGGGTCCGCCCCGCCCCGTGACCTGCACGGGTCCAAACTTGTTGACCCATGACCCGCCCCATGCGGGACGGGGCGGGTCCGCCCCGCCCCGCCACAACCTAATTAGCTAGTATGTATTTTTATTTGTGAGAAGTTGTTACCAATTGAATCTACATAATGTTTATCTCTAAATAATAATTAAAAATCAATATATTAAATCAAATTCATGATACGCTAAAAATTTCAAAAAGTAAGTAAAAATTACTCAAACTTGAATAGTTAATCTAATTAGTTATATTAATAATTGAATATATGTATTAAAATTCTATATATAAAGAAGACATTGATAATCCTCGTGCATCTCGTTCTAATATATATTCATATATTATAAGATTAAAGAATTTATAATTTATTGTATACACACATATGTATGTTGAAGTATATTTGTAGTATAATTTAAGAAAAAGTATGTATACTTATATATTGAGCAGGTCGGGGCGGGTCGGGGCGGCACAGGTCAATTCTAATACCCGGACCCGCCCCATTGTATAGGCGGGGCGGGGCGGACCCGCCCCAAATGTCTCGGCCAGGGCGGGTCATTGCGGGTCGGGTTTTTTTTGACATCCCTACAAAAAATACTACATTTAACCAAGACAGTTGTTCAATTCATTTTATTTTTTCTATTATACACAAAATGAAGAATCTAAATATATGATTTCTTTTGTTTTGCAGATGATTGGAATCCATTGTGAAGGGAGCACTCACTTCTGGCTGCAGGCTGATGGCACTTATCAGCAAGAGGGTATGAAGAATGTGATGGGGAATCTTTGGGAAAGGGTAAACTATCTATCATTCTCAAATCTCAAGTGATTTTTAAGAGAAAGAATACATTCACTTGATGATTATAATACTAGCAATTCAAATCTCAAAAGAAATAATACTTTGCAGACTGGGATCAACATAGCATGTGCCTTTTCATCATTGCCAACTCCACCTAAGCCTTCAAATTCTAGCAGACGAAAAAGCGACTGCGAGACAGATATGGTTAGCCATAGCAGCCAAGCTCAGAGAGCTATTAGTAAGCTGCTACTTGTCGGTTGTGATGGATCAGGGACAAGTACTATTTTTAAACAGGTATATAGGTGTTAATATTGATATAGTAAAAAGTTGATCCACAATGTGTTCAATTTCTAGCTTAATATTGTTTGCAGTATTCCCTAAAACATAACTGTAAAAGTTGTTACTTGATTTGATTATCTATGAACCTGAGGGTTGATGTATCACCCTGATGCAAATTTAAAATTGGGTTCGCATGACTCATTCAAGTCATAAACTCATAATGCACATGAGCTGAACCGTACTAACTAATTGTATTCAATCGTTTAGCTAGTCTAACCCATCACTATAATGAACACAAAATATGATTTTTAATACTCGGTTGTGCCTATAGTGGCCGGTGATTTAACGGTGAATAGTCCTTGGTATTGTTTGTGTTTATTTAGTGACTATATAGTCAGAGTTTTGTCCATAAAATTTTTGTTTGAATAAGATTATATGAAAAACTCGTATAGAAATAAAATTAAACTCATATGACTATTTTAAGAACGAACGCCTTATTTGGAGGTATAAGTGATTGTGAGTGTACATGATGGTCTTAATCTTCTGTTTTTCAGGCCAAAATTCACTATAATGTTCCTTTCAAGGAAGACGAGCGTGAATGTGTGAAATGCACAATCCAGAGCAATTTGTACAAGTATATTAGTATATTATTTGAGGGCCGTGACCAATTTGAAGAAGCCTATCAAATTGAATCAAGACGAAAATGCATAGAGGGACTCAGCCCTTCAGGTATTGAACTTTAGGATGAAACCACAAGTTTTACTAGTTTTGTCTTTATTCCATATCGAAGAATCTGATGCTCATTTTCATTGGGTGGCCCAGATGACGTTGAAGAGAATATTTACTCAATCAGTCCACGACTTAAAGCATTTGCTGATTGGCTACTAGAAGTTAGGATGTCAGGAAATTTGGAAACCGTTTTTCCTGCTGCTACTCGTGCATATGCACCTTTGGTAGAGGAGTTGTGGAAGGATAAAGCATTTCTAGCCACATATCAACGTAGAAATGAATTGCATATGTTACCTAGAGCTGCTAACTATTTCTTAGATCGGGTGAGTTACCGTTGCAAGACAAACGTGAATAAGTAATTATTCTTTAGTTCTGTGATTATTATCATGCAAATCCTAATAAGTTAATGTCTCTTGTGAAGGCGGTCGAGATCTCTAGAGCTGAGTACAAGCCTTCTAATATGGACATTTTGTATGCCGAGGGTTGTGCTTCCGCAAATGGGGTGGCTTCCGTGGAGGTTTCCCTTCCCGAGCTATCTAAAGATTTCTACATGGAAACTACAGATCAAGACGACTCCTTGATAAGGTAATCTGTGTTTCTATCCATCAAACTAATGCATGTCTACTATGTAACAGCTTGTGAAACTCAGCACTAGTAGCTTATTGTCCTTTAGCTTTGATGTCAAATTAAAAGTTAGGAGTCTAAATCGATGTGCAGGTGCGAACTCATTCGGGCACCCGCTAGAAGCCTGGGGGAAAACTGCAAGTTCTTGGAGATGTTTGAAGGCACTAACATTGTCCTATACACCGTTTCCCTGACAGACTACTTTGAGTATATAGAAGACGATAATGGATCTCTCAAAAACAAGATGCTAGAAAGCAAGAAGCTCTTTGAGAGCATCGTCACTCACCCTCCTTTCACCCAAAAGCAATTTCTTCTATTCCTCACCAAGTTTGATATTCTAGAGGAATCGATAAAACAGTTCCCTCTGAATAAATGTGAGTGGTTCCGGGACTTCAACCCTGTAATCAGCCAGCATTCCCACAAAAACAGCAACAACCCATCTTTGGCACAACGTGCATTCTATTATATCGCTTCCCAATTTAAAGCGACATATAAGAATCTTACAGGACGGAAGTTGTACGTATCGCAGCTTACGGGGATCAATGGCAAATCGGTCGATATAGCGCTAAAATATGCCACTGAGATTCTTAGATGGGAAAAAGAGAAAGATACTGTGTTGAATGAATGTGCTTTAGAGATCACAGAGGTTACCACAAGTGTGTAACTTTAATTTCTCCCCTCTATATATACATGAAGAAAATATGTCCAGTAATTGAAATGGTAATAATGCGCCTGGTGGTGTACCTATATATATACACACTAAAAAGCTCAGCTCTGATTTGTAGTCTGTACTGTAACTAGTAAATTAAAAGTTGTGTTCCATCTTGTAAATGTACGTTTTGCCAATTGAATCAATTGTATATGATGATATTTTTTGTCTATTTGTTCTAAGTTTTCTAGCTCATCATTATTTTTGTTAAAAAGCATCTTGTATGGACTAAATATGAATGTTTGAATCCTAAGCAAGTATCGCAAGATCAAATTATTATTGCTATGGTACTCATATTTCTCTAATTTGGGAGAGTTATTCATGTTTATACACATAACCCATTACTCATATTTCTCTACGTTGGGAGAGTTTCTAAAAATAATGCAGTGAGAATATACGACAACCTATCCATAAAGTTAAGTGTACATATTTTTAGTTACATTTATGCATGTATCTCCAGCATCTATTGGATGAACTAAGTTATATAACGGTCGTACAATATGTGCATGGCAAACATTCCGAAGAAAAAATTGTATCAAACAATATAAATCTAGAAATCAATTAATTTGGTAATAAATAAATTGGGGAAAGTTTGGTTTAAAGTTTAAACAATTGGTGGAATCTGCTAAATTACGGGAAAAAAACTATATTTAGATGTCTTTTTATTGTTGTTGTATGAGATAATAATTTCAGTCAATTGAATCGAAAAACTAACTTCCATCCCTACTTATTTTATATTCTACTATTCAACACGTAGAAAGTCTAGAAACAAATATTATGTGCAACGTGCCCGATAAAAAAGTTACGTGTCTAGTATAACGAATACGAAGTTGTTATGAAATGGAATGATACTCCGTATAAGCAGAAGATTAGGAAAAGAAGTATAGTATAAACACTTAGTGATAAATATGTTATTAGAAGTATAATAGAAGTGTGATAATGGTGTATTACAATGAAAGATAATACTTCTATTTATAGGGGAAATTGTAGTCCTATTTAGGTCAGGTGCTAATTGTAAGTCATACAATTATCATTTAGAAATCACAATTATGATTTCTTATTTAGATTGATAAAGATGATGAATAGTTGAAAGATGACTAATTGAATTATATTTCAACGAGCATTATACTAATGGACTAGTAAGCGGAAAACATATGTTATCAAAGGGCTTTTTAAGTCATACAAATATACAGTTCTACTCCCAAAAAAAAGCTGAGTCTTTAACAAACATGAGATGGGAACATAGATACCTATGATAGGGGTGTGAATATACACACATTATTATACACCACATATAATGCATATTATGTACAGTTATATATTTTTAGTTAGTTTTAGGATGGGGCAAAGCGGTCCATGAGCAAGAAAATGATTGACTCTTCGGAGATATGATTCCGGGATGATTTCAGGCCATCTGAAGAAGAGCCGCCGTCTTTCTTGGTGGCTGTTTGGCTGCTTTCCTCCACTTTGACCACCACGGAATCTGTGCTTCCGGCGGGTGTGAGGAGGATTAGGTTGGCCAGGGGTTGGATCTTTTCCTTCAGCTTTGCAAATTGAACCATACAGGCATCAACCACTGCTGCGGCCATTTCTGCTTTTCAACTACTTACTTCTATTGTGTTGAAGATAAAAGATCAAACTCCCATATGGATAAAGAAGTTCAGGGGAAGTGTCAGGGAAGAAGCGCTGGTCTGCATATATATACGAGTATTGATAATTTGAGTGGGATTTTTCATTGATTGGTGTGGAGAATCTATGTGCTGTATCGCCATTAGAATCAGAGGAATACTGTGTAGCATATTCGCATTTCCTTGGTTCATTTTAGTCAAGTTCTAAACCAAGTACCTATAGAATGTTAAGATAATTTGAATATATATAAGTGATCAAATAGAGTGCTATTCCTGTCCGGAATTTCCGGACAGGAGCCCGGTCCGGCCTCCTCCATTTGGGGGCCTTCCCGGTAGTATTTTTTTCTCAACTTTTTCGCGTATGTGCCTTATCAAGTCTAGTTCATCCATACCAAATTTCAGCAAAAAATTCAATCGGAAAGGTCGTCAAATGATTTTTGTAAGTTAACTGGTCCGAAAAATACATATTCCGGACCAGTTAACTTGCAAAAATCATTTGACGACCTTCCCGATTGAATTTTTTTCTGAAATTTGGTATGGATGAACTAGACGTGATGAGGAACATACACAAAAAATACCACCGGGAAGGCCCCCGAATGGAGGAGGTCGGACGGGGCTCCTGTCCGGATATTCTGGACAGGAATATTTGTGTGATCAAATAATAACATGGACCCATAACTTACAATAGTTATAAAAAGACATAAAAAGGATATTAAAAAAACTATAATTATAATTGGTTGGTGACCAATAAACCTCTTTGATGAGGTAAAGTGGAATGAGTATAATGAGATTGGTGATTTTGTTACTTAGATGTCTAATTCTAATTTGCTAATCAGATTATAATTCAAATAATGACAAAGTTATAAGGAAAAAAGGTTTTCCAAGAATATCACTCAAACAAAACTTAGGGAAAATATGTGATTAAAGTTTATATGTCCATAACTTCATGACAATATACAATAGTCTAAAATAGAACATAAACATAATCAATAAAAGTTGCTCTATCCATCCGTTCCACAAAACCTGGTTATGTTGACTTTTTTTTGTCAATAATGGGCAATTTAGACCAAGTATATTTAATAATATGAAATTATTTAAAAAATATATTCCTTGTCAAAAATACTTTCATACAAGTATAAAAATATAAAAGCTATAAATTTCACAAAAACAAGTAACTAAAATGGAAAATAGCTTTGAATAATACAAATGGAATAATACGTACCTCGGAAATAATTTTTAATAATATCAACTATTTGAATATATAACAAAAGTTATATAGAGCAATTTTCCCTAAAAATAAAAAATTTAACTCATCAAAAACTATTATGAAAAAATATCAAATAAGTTACCATATTTACAAATATTATTTGTTTTATGGTTTGGTATCAATTTTAATGTTTTAAATGACTAATTTTTTTGGCTAAAGGGTCAAATAGGTACATGAACTAACCTAAAGTGTTCAATTAGCCCCTTATATATGAGTTTCTGCCCGGACGTCGCCAATTGGGGCGGTTCCCGGTGGAATTTTTTGATGAATTTTTTTTGAACATCTTCTTCATTAAGTCTAGTGTACCCAGACCAAATTTCAGCTAAAAATTCAACCGGGAATGCAGTCGAATGATTTTCTGAAAAATTAAACAGCGCAGTACAATTCGGAAAATAATTCGACTGCCTTCCCGGTTGAATTTTTAGCTGAAATTTGCTATGGGTTAACTAGACTTAATGAAGAAGATGGTCAAAAAATTTCATCAAAAAATTCCACCGGGAACCGCCCCAATTGGCGACGTCCGGACAGAAACTCCTTTATAAGGGGTTAATTGAACACTTTAAGTTAGTTCATGTACCTATTTGACCCTTTAGCCAATTTTTTTTGTTCAAAAGTGGCTCAATATTATTGTTGTTATATATTCAAATATTGGTATTATTAGGAATCTTTTTCAAAATATGTGTCGTTATTGAGTTAGGGAAGATGACTTGTATTGTACTCTGAATAAAGTTACTTCTCCTAGTTAAAATAATTGTTCAAAGTTTACGGTCTAAGTTGTATAGGACGGATGAAGTACTAATATACCCACTTTGTATAAGAGATCACATTTTTTAATGTTTTGTCTATTATATTCATTTTAGTCATGTGTAATTATTTAGGAAGACTAAATTAAAGGATCACATTTCTATTTTAAAAAATGGTTAGCAAATACTCTTAAATGATAATTTTTTAATCAAATATTAAATAAAATAATATATTCATAAAACCACACGCACACGTTATCAATAATCTAATTGTGATATACATATCAAACTTATTTCTCAAAATATACTCGAACAATCTCGTTTATTTATTGTCTAAATAAATAATTGTGCCGTATTTTAGTGATAAGTTTTTGGATAGTACTAGTAGCTTATATTAAGTTGATTATATGTCTTAAATATTCTTCTTTGGGGGATTGTGAAATGTATCTTTTATTTGATAAAAACGTTTACGATACCACTCGACTTTAAGGATCCTTTGACTCGATTTATTTATTTATTTTATGGTCAACGTGTCCTTTGATAGCATAATAATTCCTAATATTTTTACTTCGTATAGAACATTTCGGGATTCCGGTTATAATTTATTAGAACGATAAATAAGCTTACAAAAATAACCAAAGCAAATGGGGGTGTAGCTCATATGATAGAGCGCTCGCTTCGCATGCGAGAGGCACGGGGTTCGATTCCCCGCACCTCCATTTTTTTTTAGTCACATCATTTCTCAAGAGCGCCAGTTTTCGCATGAAACATCTTCGAACGACCGTCAGTTTCTGGGTCAGAACACAACAAGATCCGCAACCCCGTCGTTTTGATTGTCAACGCCTTCTTCCTCACGATCCCCAAATTCCACAACACGGAAAGAATCATTCTTTCTACACAAATCTCCCATATAAAGCAATTCTTTCACTTTCACCTTTTTTACAGTGAAATACAGAGTATAATCTTACCATTTCATTTCATTCCCCTAATCGATCCTTTTTTCCTTGATTTCAAAAAGGAAGAGGGTGAACAAATTAAACATGGGGACGGAACTCATGGCTGTGATCATGATCATGGTGATAATGATGGACTCTACAAAATCTGAAGATACGAACCCTGTTTTCAATCCCTGTTTGGATGCAAAGGTTCAGAAACAGGACGGGTTCACATTTGGATTGGCGTTCTCTTCCAAGGAAAACTTCTTTTTCAACCAAACACAGCTCTCGCCCTGTGATCGCCGGCTAGCCCTTTCCGGCGCATCCTCCCGGCTGGCCGTTTTCCGGCCGAAGGTGGACGAGATTTCGCTGCTCTCGATCAACGCCACCAAGGGCGGTGGTTATATGGTGGCGTTTGCCGGGCGGGAATATGCGGCTAGGTCCTTGCCGGTCCTTGTGGCGGACAACAATTACGTCATCACTAGCCATACCTTGGTACGTTATAAATTTATCATGCAAGATTTCTACTTTTGTTTTCTTTATATGGATCGAGCAAGATGTCAGTGAAAACAATACAAGAAACTAATCATACATCACGAAGAATGAAATGTTTTTC